CTCTCTCTCTCTCTCTCTCTCTCTCTCTCTCTCTCTCTCTCTCTCTCGTATTTGTACGACAAACAGACAAATGACCGATCATGTGCAAAAATTGAATACTTTTTTTTTCCATCGCATAAAAATATACCAAATTCATAATCGTTAAGATTTAAAGACAAACAAAGTAAAACTCGAAAATTTCATAGACTCGTTAAGTACACATTCAATTTAAATCTTAGAATGAAATTCGAAACTCTGACGCTCCATTCTTCCATATAGAATAATGTGGAATGTGTTTCGTTTCGAACGGGCAGAAGATGTATTGCACAATTGCAAACCGTTTGGCGAGTGCATATCGATGGCATGAGTGGAGTGCGAAAGGCATGCTGCAAATATATACATATATCAAGAATAATGAAACTGTCATAGGCCAGAGTGAAATTACAAAAGTATTCATCGTCCACTGGGCAAGATAGATAGGCATATTGTGTGGCATTCGTTCATGTTTTGTTTGACGAATCGCTTCGTTACAATGATGATGATAACGAATGATTCACTATAGCTCTGTGTTCTTTTGCTCATTTAATTCCGAAGGAACGTGAATGTGCATTCGATTTCATGTGCTCCAAAAATGTGTGCACATTTCTCGCAGGCTTTTGTTATTATTTTGTTTCATAATATGAGAATGAAGTCGAAGTTCAAGTGTTAATCCGTTCAATGATGTATCATTAAAAATGGAGATGATTAGATGGTTATACATCGAAGGTCAAAGTATTTTCAGTGCATAATCATAATCCTTTTGGTTTTCTTACGAATCTAAAGGGACCAGATAAACGTAAAGTAGTTTTGCTTGTATGTTGCATGACAAACAAATTTCGCATTTTTTACCGAAAAGAGACGAAAGAAATCATTCAAACAGAAATTATATGTGTCGAATAGAATATCACCAGACTCGTATCCGCTCGTTGGCATCCTTGTGCCGCAAATATTATCAGTTTACCTAATCTGAACTGTGATAGAACATTGTTTCATTGTTGCAAATATACTTTCAAATTAATATCGCGTATTCGAGACGCATGAATGGATTCAATCTCAACCATTTCGTTCCAAGGTTTTGTGCCAGCAAATATGGCATATTTAGTAAAAACTATACAAAGATTGACTTGGCAACATATAACCAAATCGATTGTGAGTATTTTGCAAACGGATTGCAAAATTCATGGGATAGAATTGTATATGATTAGCATTTTGCTGTGCGTATATGTGTGATCTGGGCGTTTATTTCTAGTTTTAAAGTGTCAAAAAACTTGGATTTGTAAAACAACGGATGCCGTTATCGTGAAACAACGGGATACAGATTGTTTTTTTTCTAATTTTTTTTTTTTCGCTTCGGTTCAAGTTAGATATATGGCCTATATTTAAAGCAGTTTAATTCTTTCATTATTTCATTACTTCCATTCGCGGCATTTTTTTTCTCTTCTCATTCGTATTGTTACTGAGCGTTAGTTTCCGGACACGATTTCTTGTTCCTTTTTTTTTTACCAACAATATCAACGACTCGATACTTATTGCCTGGTTGTTTGTTTCTAAGGTGAATTTCGGCAGCCGTAATTTTGAACGCACATCCTATTCGGTGGGCAGTGAAGGCCTACTGTACAACGGAACTTGCTGCGGCTTCTTTCCCAGAATTTCTATTTCATTCAAAGATGTGAATTATCAACGATTCGTATGCGTGTAATACTAGACAGTAAAGTAAACGTCTAACGCACTTTTGTTTCGTTTCGTACACACTACATTCCAATTCATTTGATATGAATTTAGAGGGTGGAAAAAATATACGTGGTAATTCGAAGAATCAATGAATGAATAAAAATAAGGTTACTACATTGATTCAAGAAAATCTATACGAATGCGTGGGTTGAACGAACAATGATACGTGATTTTCAGCAGATGATGCTGTTTTGAAGATTCAAAATTAATTTTTTTGACGTTGATTTTGTGTAATTTATCATTTCCCAGTTCCGTTTTCATTATCATGAATTGTAGGCATGCTCATTGGATACGAGAAACGAGTGTCACACGAATAAGAAACAAAAAACGCACACGCATTGAACGTAGTTATGAATGAATGAACGAACTCTGTTACGCTGATAATTCTTGAATGAAGAAACCGGGTCTTTTCATATATTACATAACAAAATTCTTTTTTTTCTGAATACTTCTACGAGAGATATCTTGACGGGCGATGAATGGCACAATTCCAATGGAAATGGTTTCGATCCTATTGAATTTATTGATGTTTGCATCTTTTTGCTTTCGTTGCACCTTACTACGTAGAATATGTTGTTTTACAAAATAAAAAAACTTTCCCTATTCATTATAATATATATATTTCATTATACATATAATGTTTTTTTAAGAGCAAGTAGAAATTCTCATTAGCCATTAACCGAACAAATAAAGATTAACCATGTTGATTGTGTACAGAAATCGTTGTCGAAATGAGTAGTGAGAAGGAACATATTTTCTCTTAAGTCATTATGCAATGGAACATCTCTTTATTCGATAAATACAGTAATTTGAAACACAATTTACAACGAATAACATTTACCAAATTTTTATTAAAAGCCAGGATTCCAGTCGATTGTTTCTTTTTGTTTTTTTTGGGTATAACAAATAATTCTGTCACCGGGCTCAGCTTCAATCGATTTGTCTGCTAATTGTAGACCACACTCAACGTCTTTCTTAATTGAATCGACTTCAGTTTTCAAATGTCGCATTGATGAAATTTGTCCTGAAAAAGTATAGTGCAATTTATGACAAAGAAAACTTTTCACTTGGAAAATAAAGTTTCCATAAGAAATACAGTTTGATTAAGAGTTTTCATTTTTTTTCTGGTTGCATAGAATCAGAACTCACCATCATAGATTACTTCATCGTCCCGCACAACTTTGTAGCGAAGCTTCTTCTTTAACGTGCCTTTAATACAGCGACATCCCAACACTGGGATTTTTCTATTTCGATCGTTAATTAAAAATATTTGTTGAACTTCTGCTTCACCAATCACATCGTCGACATCAATTTCAGGCAATCGATTATTGATTTCGTCGATAACATCCTCAATTAATCGATAGATAATATTGAATTCTTTCATAATAATTCCACTTGGTCTTGTCGATGGTAATTTTACGGAGAATCCATAAATAACTGCATTAAAAGTTTTAGCTAACTCAGTATCCCCGTCCGTTATTGGACCGACACCATAATGCACAACGCTAAATCGACATTTTTCCGTGTTATCGTATGTATCGAAAACGTCAAGGATGGCTTCCAGAGAGCCGTGCACATCGGCCTTAAGAATTACATTTAGTTTTGGCGTAGGATCGTCTGGTGCATATGTTTTCTCTTTGATTGAACGTTTTTCTCGCTTTGTCAATTTTCGTCGCTCTTGATACACCATATTATGCTGTTCACGCTTTGCATTGATTGCATCCAAGTCTTGTTCGGCTTTTTTCGCTTGTTCCATGCGTTCACGGTATCGCAAAATTGAATTGGCCTTCTTTTCATTTTCAACTTCTAAAATGATATCGCCAGCATCGGGTAATTCTCGCCATCCCAAAATTTCGGTCGGTACACCCGGTGTAACCGATTCAATTGGTTGATTGTTATGATCGAATAATCCACGCACTTTTGCATGCGCCAAACCAGCAACTAATATACATCCTTTACGCAATGTTCCTCTCGTTACAATCATTGTAGACAGTTTCCTAAATGAGACCAATATTAGTTTCAGAACACTATTTTCAGACTCTTTTGAAAATTAATTTCAAATAAAATACCCTCTGTGTGGATCAGTTTTCGATTCGATGACAACACCTTCAACGAGCCCACTGTATTCGCTCTTTAAATCCATTAATGTGGCTTGAGTTGTTATCGCATCGGCTAATTGATCCAAATTTGTTCCGTGTAGAGCTGATATGCAAATGCATTGAACATCACCACCATGACCCTCAAGATTAACTCCGGATTTTAATAAGCCATTCTTTGCCCCTTCCTGTGAAACACATTTGAATTAGTGGAATTTTATTTGATTTCAATTTTATTAATGTTTAATTTGAATACTCACGATATTAGCACCAGGTGCATCAATCTTATTAATGGCAACAACCAAAGGAACTGTAATTGAAATATGTTTTACATTAAATACAGTTTAGTTTAACGCATTCTTCATACAAAGAATATGAAATTAGAATGATTTAAGTAATGAAATCAATTCGTACCATTTCCTTCTCTAGCCAAGTTCAAAACTTCTTTTGTCTGTGGCATGACACCATCTTCGGCCGCAACAACTAGTACGATAATATCTGTGCAATGGGCGCCACGTGCTCGCATCGAACTGAATGCGGCATGACCAGGTGTATCTAAAAATGTGACTTTTTCGCCATTTTCTAAGTCAACTGTGAAGGCACCAATGTGCTGTGTTATGCCACCAGCTTCATTTTCGGCAACCGACGCTCCCCGGAGCGTATCCAATAGCGTTGTTTTACCATGATCAACATGGCCCATAACAGTAACTACAGGTGGACGCGGCTTTAAATTTTCCGGCGGAGCAGGTGGTCTTGGATGCACATCTCGATCCTGATTTACAAATACAAAATTAATGCAATGAATTTACATGCAAATATGTAGTATCTAGGGGGGAGTCGTGAGTCGTATAAATCTCATCATAATACAATTCATTACTAACAACTTCTTGTTTTTCTTCACTAGTAGGCGCTGCAACGATGCGAATTTTGTATCCACATTTGCCGGCGATTTCCTTGAGTGTGTGCAAACTCTCTATTTGGGCCATTGGTGTTATATCTTTGATATCCGGAAAATATAACAACACTTCTTGTATTTCATCTGGAAAAAAGAAGACCAAATCATATCATTAGCACATCGAAGGAATTTCTGAATAAATGCATATAAATAATATTACCGATGGATTTATTCATTGACGCAGCTAAAGTTTCAACTGTAATAAATCGATAGACATCGATAACTCCCCACACCGTGGCCTTTTGTTTTATTTTCTTTTCAAAGAATGTTTTCTTATTTGTTGACCGTTGATTGGTTTTGTGTTGTAGAACTTCTTCCTCTGGATTTGTAGTTTTTTTCTTCTGCATCGTCGGCGTTGAGGAAATGGATCGATCGGCTATTGAAATTGGCATTGAGCCCACTATTCGATTGTTTAGAATCCATTGGTTGTGGCTTAAATTTAGTGATGTACTGAATACTATTGCCATTCTGTGTGAATGGGAACAAAAAGTTAGGTTAGGTTAGGTTTTTTATTTACATCTTGTTCAATGCAATAAGCCAATGTTATATAAATTAATTTCTCAGTTATCAATCACATTTGGATTGATATAACTCACTTTGGCCGATTTTATAAATAGTTTATAACAGATTTTTTGTTAAAATTGACTCACCGTCTGAAAGTGTACCGTATATTCGCGAATGATGACATTTTTTCTGTTTCAAACGAAACTCCAATACATATGATTAAGAATGTCATTGGCAAGTGTCAATATGTGAAAAATAAAACTGCAATGCCGATAATCGGTGACTGCACGAACGTTCCCATTTTGAATTTGAATGAGCCGGGAGAAAAATTCAACAATTTTCCACTGAACACTCAACTTAAATTAACAGCTTCAGTCAGTTGAAACATTGACGCGGATGAAGCGAAAATGTCAACAAATAAATCGAATGTCTCGACTTGTTATTACGCTCGAAATTTTCATAACTTTAATCATGTCGGAAAGAAAGACGAAGAATAAATGAAAGAAAGAGAGATGGACAACGCAAAATTGTTGAAATGCTCGTTAGCATGCTCAGCGGAAAAAAGGTAAATCATATGACGGTTAGGTTTTAACATACAGCACTCTAATGAAAGACATATAACAAAAAACACTTGTTTGGCACTGAGAAATCGTTTAATATTCAGAGGATTGCATCTTCAAGAAAATTTAATTTCGCACATTGAATCGAAAATAAAATGTGCATGTTACATTGTGTTATTTAAGTTATGTGCCATGCAATCAATATTAGCTCTCGATTTTCATTCAATATCATCACATTAGCATCCTATCTAGAGTTCGATAGTCAAATCGTGTACGCGCTGAACATGCAATGAAACCCCTAAACGAACAAAAGATTGTACAGAAACGATTGCAGGATGGAAGAATGGATCGACAACGTGGTCGTCGTAGTCGTCATCGACGACGACGACGACGTTGGCGATGAACAGCACACACATCCAAGGAGAGAACATATTGGCCATAAATCTAAATAATTTATATTCAGTACCGTGCGTATCGAAATTGCGAAATGAACAAGGAATGAAAAGCAAAATGTAAGCAACCAGTAGCAACAGCAGAAAAAAAACACACGTTCTACACCGAATTGATTATGCACGATACAAATGAACCAAGCAATGAAAAATTTGTGTGAGCGACAAAGGAAACGAAACATAAGCGAAACGCACAAGCAAACACTGAAATCAGGAAAATGACAGCCGCGATAAAAATAAGGGTTCAAATCTCAACCGAAATGAGAGTGGGATGAAATCGGCAACAAAAAAAAAAAAGACGAATAGAAATATTTCGAGATTGGCCAGTTGTCTGGCATAAGTGTTGATTTTATGCTCACTTTTTATCCGAATTGACTCTATTTTATGTCTTCAAAGTAAATCCATGCGGTTGGCTGAGCCTATCGTGTTCAAACTAATAATGGGCATTCTGCGGTACATATGCTCCGATTTTTGGATCAAACCTGCCGAAAATCACCATGCACGTATACCAATGACGTATTAAATAAATGCGTGAGGCAAATAAAAAAAAGGCCATTGGTAAATGGTTGGCAACATACGAACAACATCGCTTTGTTACAAGTGATACAAGTTGAATGCTCACTGACTGAAAATCTGCCAAGTGTCCGTTGCCCGAGATAGTAGTGCCTGTTTATTGTTAAATAAAGCTGATTTGATGTGTAATTTATGTTATTTTAGTCTTTATAGCATTGCTCGAATTTCGAACGTGAGTGCAAATCGCAATTTTTTCATTGACACAAGCAGTGGAAAGTGATGATAAATGGAAGTGAAAAGGGAACTTCTGTTCAGAACTGCTCATTTTGCTGCACACTAACGACATCAGTGAGGGGCGCGACTGTGTGCGAAAAGCCTACGGAGAGTAAGAGGGAAAAGATAGAAAAAGTGGCAGCGTGAAGTGAAACTGTATAGATGTGTCGCACAGTTATCAAAGCGAACAACGAAAAATAAAAGTAATCCTAAGCCTTCCCAACCATCTGCTCAATGTGTTGTTGCTATTGCTGCTTGCTGCTGAGGTATATATTCAGTCAATTCCCTACCCAGTATACGAATGGCCCGTGATATTTCTCTCTACACGAAAATTTTCACTCTGTTTATATACATTTACAACTCTCAGTCTATTTTACAGTAAGCATTCAAAATATATTTGTTTCTCTCTCTATCTCTCTCCTTCTCTATTTTGTGAATCTTCCAAGCCAAACCTACACACCGTCAAGCCGAAAAGCACATCGCCGTCTGGATCAAAAATATAGTCCACTAGAGCAATTGATATTCTTGCTGGTGCTCCAATACATAATATTCACTGTATACGCATTCGAATGCTGGTTCTGTGTTCGTTACACACGATTCACACATTTAAATTTCCCTAGCTGGTAGCCAGCTTTTTCAACATCATTCACATTGCAGCTACGACACTGTTCGTATGTATGTGCGCGCGCTCTGGATCGGTGGTGGAAATACTCTATCCCGCGACCGAACCAAATGCCTGTGTACAATCCAAAAAGCAATACGCATACTCAAAAAGTTATTACCAAGGACGGGTGAGAGAGCCAGTATCGCAATGTGTGATGTGTTGATCCGAATTTGAATTTAACGAAAGGATATTTCCACATTGCATTCAGTCTTCAGAAGTGACTTGGTCGCGCTTGTCGTATCATCGCTATAGTAGCACACACACACACACACACACAATCTAACATCGATACGTGTGCTTTCTATTTATTTACAAACATAGTAAACATTCATCATCCGTACAAGAGATACTACGGTCTTTGACGGAGTCAAAGACACACATAAAATGTGTACGCGTTCAGTTTATTTGGATTTCGTACCAAATGTGAGCACACAAAAATGTGGTTAATTATTCCGGTGAAATGAACAAAACGATTTGTCGGCTATTTTAAATCTGTTCTCGTCTAGTTTTCTAAACCAAAAATTAACACTAACACAGTACGGTCGGTGCATATTCGAGCTGGAAACGGTTTGGTTTTTCTTTTTTTTTTCTCGGTTTTCATCGTTATTGTTTTAAAACCAAAAATTAAAAAAAATATAGATATATATACCTAATAGAACACGATAAAGCGGAATTTAAATGCACATAGGGCATAAATCAGATTCGACGAATTTACTTCCGGTTCGAAGGCTGAGTTTATTGAAATTGTCAACGTTTGGTAATTGAATTCAACCATCATTTAACTATTCCTGTCTGGTTTAGATCGCGCGCGACATTCATCACGATGTAAATAAAACGGAATACGGCAAATAATTGAACAATGTAAAAATAAGTGGCGTTTGTATTTATCGGTGTGTGTTTATATGTGTTATGTGAACCAATTCAATACCATCCCTTAAATGAAGATAAAAGTATAATTGATGGAAACCAAAACAACGGATGAAATAGAAAAAAATCCATACACAAGTTTTTAACGGTAAATTTATAATTACAACTAGAACAGAGCTTTAATCGATATGCATTTGATAAACATCCCATTGTTTATGGCTAAATAAAACGTCCCGACCCAGATTGGAGGCATTTAAACGCCATCGCCATTCCAATGATTTCATACAGAAAATTTTCCAAAGGGATATTACAACTTTTTTGACCAGAAAAAACGCCATCTTACGTCGTGCCCGTAAATTATTTTACGGTACATTTAGATGGTAGAGCTTGAACAAAAGTTCGACACTATGCATAAACTTGGAAAGAGCTTGATAAACTTGATGAAATACATATATTTTATGGTCGCTGCAATACCCCTATGATATTTTCATTATCGATAGACACACAGAGAGAGAGAGAGTGAATGCCACACATAGCTATTGCATTTGCGTTATCGCAACAATGACGACGAACGTGGTGGCGATGGTAATGCCAAAAATAACACTCGATTCATGTATATCAATCATTGATGTATAAATTAGGAGATTGTCTACATTCACATGTCTCTGTATATGTGTGTGTCTGTGCGTGTGTGTGCTGTTGTTATTTTTTGTAAGCAACGTGTTTTGAGTTTTCGTGATTTGTTATTTTGGTTTTTGATTTTGGTTTCTGTTGTTGTTTACCATTATCGCAATCAAATCAAATCGTTATCATCGCCCCGAACTAAATTCAATTTTTGGTTCATCTTTGTTGTTTCGTTCACATTTGTTACATCGCTCAAGACTGAATACTTTTTTCGACATTCTATCGCACTCTAGCAGGTAATAATCGACAATCTGAACGTGTTTGCACAGCCATTGGCAAATAATGGATGCAAAATCTATTCTAAATATATACCAACTGCGCGCTGTGTGGTGAATGGTGCTAGTATAATTTTCAGGCTTATGAGAAAAAAGTGAAAGAACGAAGCAGAAGAAAAGCGACATAGCCTATTTGCCGTGCACACGTATATTACACAGAAGAATTGTTATTTACAGGCTTACAGTGATGCTCTGTCTACTATATCTCGGTGTGGCACCATGTTACGCGTCGCACACAAATATAAATACTCTCTGTCGCATCTAAAAACTTCTACAATGCTAAAAAAAAAGAAGGTAAAAGCACACCGCAGATAGACATAGCCCAAACTGAAGGTAGGAGGGAGGGAGGGGACACGCGCGGGGAATCATCGATATTTCCAGTAATAAAGCACAGATAGTGGGACAAATGACTGATATTTTGACCTGATTTTAATATAAATATATAGCCCGCGATTGGAATATGGCCTGTTGTGCCTGTCATCCCAGGCTGCCCACATTTGTTTTTTCACACCACTCTCCCACTCCCTCTCTCTCTCTCTCTCTCTCTCTCTCTCTCTCTCTCTCTTTTCTTTCTTTGCATGTACTTACCAATCGTGCGCTATGTGTTTCGTGCTTGTGCGTGTGTCCAGGATGCAAGAGAATTCAATAAAAATGATGGATTTTTCAAAACGAAAATATAATTTAGTAATGGGGGAAAAAAGAGCCATTTGATTGAAATAATGCATTTGTCGTGAAATGGGTACAAAATAACCGCACGCTGATCATGAATACCCGCCGGATATTGTGTGGAAATAATGACTGTAAACAACTTTTTGGCCGACAAAATCGATAAGGCGATTCTGTTCCCTCGATAAAATTGAAAATTGAACTTGGAAAGATATATGGTATCAATACGCGTAATGCATACGCAAGTGCGCGCGCGCTCATTTGATTCCGTCTCACAAACTCTCTGCCTCTCTTTCTCTCATCAAAGCACATGCTTGAACAAGTTCAATTGAATTTATTCAATTTCCAATTAAAGGCAAACAAACCTTAACAAAATTTCCAAGTGGTTTGATTCATTATTTATTCTGAAAATATTTTCGTTTCTTCAAGGTGGTGTTGTTCACAACAGAATCACATTATTCGCATGCGAACCTTTGAATCAACAACACCACATCTCCATCACAGTACCGCTCTGATCGGATTTTCAGGTTTTCGTCAATCAACAATCGTAAAGCGGCCAAAATGTCTTACAGGCGATTTCTTTTTTGGTGCACAGCGCATAAATTTCGAATATCGTTCTCTTATCATTCTCTATTTGTGTTTCATTTCGCATCATATTCTGTATTCACATGTTATTCGCAAATCGGTGACGTTATTTTATGCGTGTGTGTCTTTGTTTTTATGAAAAGCAAAGTTGCCATAAAGCCAGACTACAGAATTGTATAAGCGAAAGAATACGAAAAAAAAAAAAAAAATGATATCGTGCATGAAGCATGAAGCATACGTGGCATTCGAATTTAAGCAAGGGATTCATGTGCAAACGGTGCAAAGAGGAGCCAGAGAAGCAACAAAACAGCATTCACTGACACATTCACAAAATAAATAGTTAAATGATTGCGATGCGATGTTGATGATGTGAGTTGAATTTGTGCTTTCCGTTGCCGTTTTGTTTCATTGCTTTTCGTTTGATTTTTCATCCTTCATATGGAAACCTTTTAGCTCGTCTCCATTCTTTGTTTTAACGCACATACTTTGTGGCATTTCTCCTGTTCTTTTGGAATTCGTTTGATGGAGATAAATCGACGCATCAAATCCCTCACCCAAACTTATAAATATATCGCTCTTAAGCTCTTTTCACCAAAAATTATCATAAAAGTCTTCATTGTGTACATACATCACAACAGGATGTACGAACCATTGAAGATAAATTCACACCTTCAAAATATTACAAGCAAAAACGGTGTTCAAATCTAATCCAAGTGACATTTAACAAAAATATACAGTATCAGAAGTGAGAATAGTTTATTTTTTTATTTTTTTTTTACGTTTTCCACAAACCAAAGTTCTTTGTCTTCATTTGCTGTTCTAGTCTTTTCTGGTGACGTGCATTTACTCGCAAGAGTTCATATTCGCATTTTGAGTTTGGAATTTTTTTCGTTTGCCGTCGAAAACGTCATGAGGAATGATGATTTGTCGATGGAGTTTAGCCCATTGTTGGGAATGTTCGGCAACTCATATGAATCATGACAGAATACGTGTGTGTATGTGTATGCTTTGTTCGTTTTGACTATTTTTTCGCCGCTTTTCCTAATCCTGATATTTCGACAGTGTTTTATTTTTTATCCCGTGATGTGATTGCGTGCCGTCGCTTTGCAATTTCACACGTGCTTCACAAAATAACTTAGCAACTTGCTCTTTCTTTTCCTCTTGGTGTGTTTGTATCTCATTCGCTTGAATCCATGCAGGCATTGGTGCCACATTGAGTATTTTCTTTTCGCCGCACCATCACATACAGTCAAGGACAACTACAATACACGATTTATGTTGGCACAAGATTAGTTATTAAATCAACGCATGTGTCGCCTTGTTGTTGTTTTATGGCGGCTGTAAAACAAACGAATATCCAATGCTCACATACCATTTAGCACGAAATTAGAATGCGGCGAAATTATGTCAGAATAGGTGACATATTTTCATGAAGAATTTTCTGCCATTTGTTGCTCATGCTTTTTCATCCGTTCTGTAAAATCATAAAGTGTACGTAAATGAGTTTCTGGCACTGTGCAGTCTCGATACATGTTTCGTTCATTCTTTGTTTTTATTCTACGAACGTTGGAGTGATACACATAGAAAGGGAGAAAGAGAAAAAAAGAGAAAAAAGAGAAAAAAAGAGAAAAAAGAGAGAAAAAAGTGAAACTCCCTCTCAATAAGAATAACTGAAACTCACAAGGGACTACAGTTTTCCAACATCCAGAATCAGTATGGTTATTCGTTTTCATATAAATTTGTAATTCATCGCCTCGAATCTTTCGGAGGAAAACGAAGGGAGAGCATTTTTCGGGTAGTTTCTAATGAAGAAGCGGCACGTGGGTGGCATTCAAATTAGTTTTGATTTTTGAAAGTTTCTCTCGTTTTCTGTTTCATGTTGCTATGCTCAACCGAATTATGTTTACCTCAAATTCAATATTATGAACGGACAAATAACTTATGAGCTTTTCCATGTTTCAGCGAGCACAAATTTAATCACTTTGTTCGCGTAGGACTTTGAAATTGTTTGTTTAAAAAAAATTCGCCGATATTCTTCTACGAATTACTTGGAGAATAATCGTCAGAATTGAATGAGAACTCGCGCTGATCTATTCTTTGGTACCCCTGACACATAGGAACGAAACATAAAATGTATTCTTTTCTAATCGGATTTTTATCGACTTCTTGTTTTTCTTTTTTCTCGAAGTGGATCCAAATGTCGTCGGATTGATGCAAAATGATCGTCACATTTGACATGGTATCATTTTATGACGCCTGTCAACCGTTATAAGTCTCAAATAAAAAAATATCCAGATGGTACTGGCTTCTTTTGACACACAATGACATCCGAACAATATGAAATAAATTGTAATTCCAAAAATTTAAAAACAATAAGAACACAAACACATTGTGTTTGCGCATTCGAATAGGCGATGTATTTCCCTACTTTTCATTTGAAAAAAAAAAGGTAAAATTCCACATGAAAATAATTGATTTTGAGCAGATACGAAAAATTCATCATTAAAAAATGTATGGCCTACTATTTATTTATTCGTGAACCCACCCGCTTATTGTCACACTTTGAACAATTGTAGAGCGCCATCCATAATTGACGGCAAAATTAGCTGTAAATAGCCGTAAGTGATTTCGACATATTGTGAAATGTTGCGAAATCACACCAATTAGTACTGGATTTTGCCATCATTCATGGACGGCGCTCTAGAATTTCACACTTCGTATTTTGTATGTATTCAATACAAGATTATATGCGTGTGCGTGAACCAATTCCGGTTTAAAATTGACAATATCACTTTTTTCGAAGTAAGATTCGTGAATGATTGTTGCCTCAAATAAGGATTATGTTTTTGCCAAGTGAAAATGGCACTTGTTATATTTACTTTTGTTGTTTACATAGATTCGGTAAAACATAAAGCTCTTTTTACACGATGCATTCATG